TACTCAACGAGCAATTGCTAGAAGCAAAAAGAGTAGCTGCAGACTCTCTTGTCGTACGATACGCTGTGTGTGTGTGTGTGTGTGTGCGAGCTTGTGTTCACCTCTGTATATGCATAAATTGTGCGTCGTACGTACACAGAGCAGAAGATCCGCTGCCGCTACTGGCGTACCGCCTCGTCGACGCACTCTTTTCTAATATATTATACTATAATAGGTCCGGGGTCGAGCGAGGGCACAACTACTACTGGGGGCTAGGTCGGCCACTGACCTTTATGCGGGCTATATGACCGTATATATGCGCGCGTACTTATCCCCTATGACGACGACGACGACCAAGACAATATATTTTTCGCGCTCGCATGCAAAAAGGGGCAGCAATAACTATGTATCGCATGGACGCAACGTCATAGTCAGCATCTGCAAATTCTCTCTCTCTCTATGAGTTTGTCTATTTCTGCAGACGCACATAGTACACACAGCATACCCTTCTATGTACGCGCAAATCTACTCTTGTAAACTACAATCTGTGTGCGTATACACGCACATATACACACTTTCACTAGCTGCACGCGCTCGAGTATTGCATGTATTTTTGGAATAGCTCTAGGAAAATATATTTTTGCACGAGCTTGCGTGTATTAGCTTGCTGGCATGAATTTTTCGAATTGTTACTTATGCTGCGTTGTCGTGTACTTTATGCTTTACTTCGGAACGGCACTTAGTTGGAAACGTAATCTTCGTCGCTCAAACATTTTGGCCAAAATCCTCATTTATTTATATAAAAGCGTTCGTTTTTATTTGAAAGGCTTTTTTCCCTATTTTTTTCCTGCATTTTCTAGCTGATATCTGCTCGACGCGCTGGATTCATTTTTATTCACAAAAAAGTATTCTCGAACATCTTATTACGTCATTCGAATAACAAGCATAAATTGCTTGGAACTTGACTATGTTATGTAACCAAGTGTAGTGGGTCTAAACATAATACATCGGGAGTTCAATTGAAGAAAGTGCATGTCACAAATAATGTTGCATTTAAATCTATTGATATGATTTTATGTCAATGAACTTCTGAGATTACTACATCTACACGCTTATCTGCACCTATTTACACACATTTTATTGAAAAAACAATATTGATAAAAGAAGATGATTCCCATAATATCTATTATCGGATTAAAATTTTATTTTACTTTGTTTAGAATAATTTTTTTCTGGCAATAACAAACGAATCAATATTGCATATATGAACTAATGGAAATGAAAAAGGAGATTGAAGTGAAAATAGACTAAGCACGAAAATGAAGTAGATTATAAAACCACGCATACATTTTCAAGGGGACACATAGTAAGAACTGCAACAGGGTTCAACGATCTCTCTGAAAGTTGTGTAAAAAGCCAGCTGTTCAAAGGGGTGGTGGAAAAAATTCTAGACAGAATGTTTTAGAAAAAAGACTTGATGAATGTTAAGCAGTTACCACAATCATGGTCTCAACAAGAAAGAAGGGATCCATAACTTTTTTCTCATGAATTCGTATAATTTATTAACAAAAAACTTTCAATAAATTACTACATTTTTTTAAAAGTAAGGATATAACTTTTTGAAGATCTTTTAGTTGTTCAAGATGAAGGATTAACTAATTCGTTGGATCAATAGATGAGTACGTGACGAATCACACGATGCGCCATTAATTTTATCGATGAAATACGAGCCGTTCTTGCAACAATTTAAGAATGAAATTTTTGCAAAAAAACGCAGGAAAAATCAAAAGAACATCGATTCATTTCATTTGATGTGAATAGAGCAACTACTTATTCATATGTATTCGATTACGCGATATTTGCAAAAGAGATGCTAATACGATAGCGCATGCAAACACATTTTTCATACCCTACTATATGACAAGAGCAACGATATTTTTGATACAAACGAGAATTGATGGGAATGAATGAAAAATGAATTGCTTGCCAAGGTCTAATAATGCGCCCAAACAATTCTTACTAAATTGAACAGATAAAGTGTTTACTTTTTCGCCTCGATATTAGCAGTTTATTCTCGATTCATAATGTTCAGTAATGATTATGATAAATTAACATGTGCATTTATGTACCTGTTTTTATGTATACATTATAATATACTGTTGTTAGTATCGTATAGCTTATATTACACATGTTAACTTTAATCTTTCCATGGAAAAAGACACCGAGTATAAAACATTGCAGAGCTAGCTCTTCATCTCGGGTTACATATTTTAAAGCAGTTCGCTCGTGTGATTGTACAAATAAAAAAAGAATATTTGTAATTAAAACGTATCATCGAGCTAGGGGGTTAAATTTCAACTCGGTCATTAGGAATTTGGAAATCAATATTTTTATACTTTTATTATAAACATCGGGGCAAATTTTCGTTACAAAAATAAATAGTAACACGATAAGTTCTAGAGATGTAGAATTTTTGAAATTGTACCTTAGTTTTTATTTTAATATGAAAAAAAGATGCAAGTAGAAGAGTCATCGTTTGGGATTTATTTATTAAATTATTGACATTTGTTACTTCATACACTTGAAGTAGTAAAGAAACTGTAACTCATTGTAAGGTATGCTATAACCTGTGCATTCGTGACTTACTTTCAATTCAAAAAATAAGAAGTAAATGTCGGAAGAATTGAAATGTATCGAAAATATAAATTATAGGTAAAAAATGGGGCAATAAGGCGGCAAAAGCGATTGACGTTTCCGTTGCAAAAGCATCGCTCGTCCATGGTCAGACAAAGACACATAAACACACGAAGCATGACTCGTTTGGTATTTTTTGTACGAGAGGATAAAAGGGAAATTGTTCTAGTTTGCGGTAATTTGGATTAAAGTCGCGCAGGTAAGTATGGCGTGTGCGCCGGATGCCACACGGGCTTGCAGCGCAGCAGCAGCAATGCGACCAACGAAACTAATAGCTGCGGTTTTAGTCATATTCGAGAATGCATCGCCCACATGCTCACGATATGCACGAGTATCGACAAATTCATGACTACTTTCTCGCGAGCACATGCATATTGCATTTATGTGGTGCACCGTGGGCTTGAATATAGCCCTACGCAGTCCGCAGAGCGAAGCTCCCCACCCACGCATCGATGGGTGCGCGGCTCTATCGCGCAGAGAAAGCTAATTGATGCGACGATGCAACGGAGAAGCGCAACTGCATCCTCCTTAATCATTGGCTCAACTTTGCTCACGTACCTGCGTATGCTCCGTTGTTCGCTGCTTCGTTCATTCAACGATATCGCATGGATATCGCGTCGGAATATCGGCGCACGAGATGCGGCCCGACGAATGCATCGATGCAGGATCGAGGCGACGAGAGCTGCAGGCGCGTATCGTTAAGGATGCATCCACGTGCTGCGCTCGGGCACATGGCTGCTGCACGAAGGCTCCCCGCGCACAAGCGATTCGATGTTGTCCGTGGACTGCGGAGCTGCACCGAGTACGAGTAACCGGGCGCAAGCTGCACACGCAACGACTTTCTGCTTCATCCGACGCGAGGTTCAATGCCGAGAGCCGCGGCGAGGTCAGCTGTTGCCGCGAGGACTTGACCCTTCGCCAGCGGCAGTTGCTGCGAGCGACCAAGCGTGCTCCTTATGCTTGCGCCGCGCACCGAGCTCGTGACCGCACTCGACCTCCTCGTCGTCTTCATCGTGCCTTCGTCTGCCTGATTCCTGCAGTTCTGTACCCTCTGTATGCGATGTGTATCAGTGACGTTCGATTGGCCGGCACTCGTCGCTACCACCCCGACTCGTCGTCGTCGTCGTTTTTACTCGCTCGTCCGCGTGGACGAATTACCACCGGCTACGACGGAACTGCAGCTCGCCTCTGCGGCGTTCGATGACTGGCTGATTTGCCAAAGAGCTTGCGACCTCCGCCGCTTCGGCTCTATCCGTACCATTTAACTTTATCTTTTTATTTTTTAAGCTTTCGGCAAAATATTTCAGAGAACTCTGAGGCAGGTTGACAAACACTTGTACTTTCAATTTTTTCAAAAATCTCCTTTATTTCATTCAACTTGTTATTATTTTTATTTAAAAAATAGATTGTTCACCATCGGTTCAACGGATAATTTATTGTTTTTTAGAGATTTAAAGTCTTGTTTTCTCGAGCTGTGCACCCTATTGGCATTTGCTCGCACTTGCTCTTCGCTGCGTAGTCGCGAGTACTTTTTGTTATCAATCGATGTTTCCACTTTTCTAAGGCCTCGTCAAAAAGCTCAAAAATGTATGTCACTGACTCTCTCGAGTCCATCACTTTGCCTGTCCTTTTTACATTTTCTCGCTCATAACTGGCATTCTTCATTCTTGTGAGTGTGCATCGAGGACCGAGTGTTAATTCGATGCGTCGGCCACTGCGAAATTACACCGATGTTTATGGAGAGCGATATACATATAGAAAGAGCTGCGGTTTTTACTTGGAGTCTAACCTCTGTTAGGCGAACGCCGATGAAAGCGAGTTAGCCGGCAGCACACGCTGGTAATGACGATGAGCCCGATCGAGTACACCACCAACAGCAAAAACTCGGTCGTGTAGCCGTGATTTTTGAAAAAACTCCCGATGCCCCGAGCAGCCGTGCTTATCACCTCGATGAAGGTCTCGCCGTTGAGGCGAGCATCGCCGCAACACTCGAAAGACATAGTCTTACTTACATATATCTATCGGCAGCTTATTGTATATATGCGCTTTAGCGGTTATATATGCTCAATATAGCTATATATGACGTATAACGAGACAACGACTCTGCATGATTTCAGACGCGACGGGCTACTATGGTTAAAAAGTAATCTTCGAAACCCGACTACCGACTAAATACGTCTATCTAAATGCGGTATATACGCATTTAACATCATCATTTGTCTTTTGTAGCCTGAACAGTGAGCTAAGCCTTCTTCCTCTCGACTTTACATTTTTTTACGCGAGGGTAAAATGATCAAAGTTGAACGAAATTTCAAATCCATTCAATATGATTGAAAAACTCCTTTTTTTTATTTTTTACAAAAAGCCTTATTTTTACTTTCAACTTAATAATAACAATGACATCACTTTACCAATTTGATTATAATCATAATGAGATACATACTATATATACATTTTCAATGAAGGTAAAATACCAGAAACTTTGGTTTACTTAGACTCATCGTGCAAGTTATATTTTGTTTTGAGTTTGTCTATTTCTTCCATTTTTTTATCAACATCCACTCTTTTAAATGCTTTATTACTTTGATAGTACAGAACTACCAAATATCTGTTACAGACATTGAAACCGCTGAGATGATCACAGGCATTTTTTGCATCAAAAATATCTTCATAAACAACAAATGCAGTTCCTCTAGTTTCTGCTGTATTACCACTAAAAATGAAATGACAAAGATTAATTTACATGATTGAATATTTTATCATATCAAATTCATAAGTTTAAAAGATTATTTGCACTTACACTCTAATTTGTCTAATGGCTCCGTACTTTCCAAATATGTCATACATTTCTTCAGCTGTAATTTTGTATGGTAAATTTCTAATGTAGAGAGTCCTGTTTACTTCTGGTGGAAGCCTCACCTGCAATATAAAAAAATTTTATATAAACAAAGTCAGTAAAGTTAAAGTTATCAGTAAAGGCATATACACTAGGGCAGGTTGTTTTTAGAAAGTATTTGCTCAGATGCACTATAATTAAGTAATTCCAAATATATACTTTTGGATTTACTACAACAAGAAAAGCTGATGATAAACTAATTTTATGATATATACATTGACATTCTTCATAACAAATGTGATATTAATGAATTTTGAGTTACACAGATAAATTTTTAATTAAATAAACACAAATGTTAACATTAACAGATTATTCTATATTAACTGCTATTATTGCATTGTAACTAAATCATTAAGATTTTGAGAAAGCTATAAGGAAATCTAGAAAATAACTCCAAATTTATTACAACTAGGTCTTACTTAAAAGTATAGTTAAAGTAATAGTTAAATTACTGACTAATTTAATAACATTAGTTAAAATATTTTCAATTTTACTTCATTGATGACAAAGTATAGAATAATGAATTTCAAACTACTTGCTAATTATATTTGTTAGTTATTAATTACTACTTAATATTAACTTATGAATGATTAGATAAAACATTTAACTCAATGAAGAACTAAAGAGAAAATTGATAAAAATGTATCAAAAATTCATAACTCTCAGAAAACTTTGTCAACAATAAAATATAATAATGTATTGACCGAATATTTTTGAGGTTAAGTTCAAAAAAAATAATTGGATTGTTTAATACTTACATTTGCACGACGTTGCAATACTGCCATAGCCATTTTGAAGTAAAAGATTATTGAAACAAGTTCAAACGGAAAGTTAATGTTTTTTGACTTTATAGTCCGCAATAAGCACGAATGACAACTATGAAAACAAGCTTGCCACTGCACGCTAAATTTCAAATGACTACCTACACGTAATATATATGCGTTCTGCGGTCTGCTACAAGGAACAAGCTATCAACTACAATGCTTGACTGACGGGCGACTGCAGCCTGGCAGAAACAAAACAAGCGCTATCTGTGGGCCATCTTAAGTAACTATTCGTCTATGTGGGCATGCTATGTAGAAAACCGCGAAGATATAAATTTTTTTTTGATAAAGTAGTCAGTTTAAGGCTTTGATGCATTGAATAAATAATATTGCATTGAAAAACTATTTTTTAATCTATCATAATAATCATAATAATCAATGATGTCGTTACATTCCTAAAATACTAATATTTTGGTAGCAGTATTAACAAGAGACTTTTTAATTTCCAAATTATATCTAGGTTGTAAATAGTAATTTAATAATTAAGACTTATCGCCTATAAAATAATATGAAAGAAAACGTAAAATGTATTGGCGGTCCAATTATATAGATTTACATATTTTTACATTATATTCCAGTTCATAATTTATAATATTTTAACTTTTATTTTTAATCTTTTTTATATACTTTTTCTGTTGGGGTCTCCGGGTACAATTTCGAGCATAAATAAATTTTGGCACACATCAGAAACGATTTCGCAAAATTTTGGGTTTTTGTTCAGCTTGAGTGTCCGACTTTTAAAATTTGTTATTGCATTGTGAATGAAAAAAATTTAGGAATTTTGTAAGTATCAACAAGAAAAGATAGTTAAATTTATCAAAATTAGTCATTTATAAATTAAAGTAGTAAATTAAAACGTAGCATATTTACAGATTGCAGTAAAATATATATAATTTATTTGTCCATTACAAAACATGTGCAAGCAACTTGTACAAAAAAAGTGGCGTAGATTTTAAGAAAATTCAAAAGTATTAAAAATTAAATGTTTAGCAAAACTACAAATGTAAAAAAAAAACAATTTTTCGTCATCCTGAACTCTTTTTTAAAAGTTTTGATAGAAAATATTTTCATAATGCCACATGATGCAAAGTTATTGTAGAAATTATAATTAAATTTGCTATCAATTGTTGAACTAATGTTACATGATAGCATAGTATACTTGAAAGTATATAGTACTGACTACTAAGCGCCTGAAAATGTCTCACCATCATTTCAGTATTCCAACTGATGTTAAAATCACCAAACAATTTTAATAATTTGAAATAATTCATTACATTTGTTTTTATGATTAATTTTATTTATGTATTTGTTTGTGTCTTATATTTTAGTAAAGTGTACAAAATTGTTATACGTTATACATTCATTTGTGTGTAAAATTATTGCTTCAGTAGATTTCGATAAAGTAGCAAATCATGAACCTAATATACAAAAATGACAAAAATTCATTTTGCAGTATGTCATTGATAGTATAAATATATTTTTCCAATGTTTACTGAAGTTTATTTTGCCTAATTTTTATTTTGACTTACATTTTTGTCAATAAAGTTTTATACATGTTATAAAAAATAGATAATTTTTAGAAATAAAATCATCACTTATTATTCTAAACTCATGCATATACTCATACAATAACATCTATTATCAAACATTATGAATATAGGATTTCATTGCAGTTTAGAAAGTTTAAAATAAACCATACTACATAATTTACATAACAATACAAGTGCTGCAGATACTGTACAAACTATGAATATCTCATACCATTTTGAATGTACTATCACACCATAAAAAGTAAAACAACAAAAATAATATTATCTTTCATTAATGAGATATTATTAACGCAAATCCTATTATTGCATACAATGATTTCTTTGTCTCTATGAAATAGAAAACGGAACAATAATCATTACAATCATAATTATAACTTCTAGAACTCTTTAAACTTTTTTTTGTTTTATAAATGCTTGATATACAGCAAATTCTTTCTTTTCTTTCTCTAGATTCCGATTTTCATAGTCTAACCTGTGACGTATTATTCTTTCAACAATTTTTTCAGTTGTCATATCATTACCACTATCTAATGATTTGAATTTATTCATTTGCTTTGGTATTTCATAAGGATCTGAACCATCTTCACATGGCATTATTGAAGTTTGCCCATGACACACAACGGATACATTGAAATGTTCCATTAGATCTTTAGTAACTTCATAAGGAGCCCCTATCACAACTTCATTTACATATTTACAAGCTAATACACTAAGAACTCGTTCATGTAAATTCATTATCGGATAGTTTCCGCACTTATATCGATTGATTGCTGGATCCGTATGCAATCCAACAATCAAATAGTCGCCTTCTTTTTTAGCAACTTCCAAAAAATCTAAGTGACCCACATGGAACAGATCAAAGGCACCAGCTACATAAACTATTTTATCACCCAACTGAGGACTTTTTCCATCACTAAATTGAATGATTTTTTGAGTAGTTGGTAAAAATTGAGAACACCCCGTCCATGGACTTCGTGCTTGCCTATCTTGTCCCATACTTGTACTTGGTTCTTTATCCATACTATACTCACTGTCTCCTTGTTTAAAATGTTGTCTTGTCATTAATAACATTCTGCCTACTAAATCTGTTGTTGACACCCCAGCTGTGCGCTTTACTTCTTTGTAACGATTAGCTGCTTTTACAAGATGATAGGTATCAACACCATCTGCTGTCATGGTAATATCATCGCCATGAACACAAAAATCACAATCATATTTATCTAGAGTTTCTAAAGTGGTAACATAAGGAGCACCCTCAACAACTTCATCTACCCATTTAATTCCACGAACCATTTTGTATCTTTCCTCTTGAGTGAAAACAGGTGGCCCTTTATGCTTTGTAATTTCTTCATCAGTGTGAACTCCTACTACTAGGTGATCACCTAAGGCTTTCGCTTGGCGCAATGAATTAGCATGGCCAAAATGTACCATGTCATAGCAGCCATCACACCAAACTCTTATTTCTTTCTGTTGTTCAGACATATTGAATAAGTATCAACTAGCACAGGAATTTGAGTGAATTTTAAGATCTTGAGTTATCATACAGTCAAGTTGTGTACCTCTGTAAAAACAAAATTTGATAATTAACATGATGATAAATACATTAAAATGTTGTAATATAATAAATTTAATATGCTTGAGGTATGTTTCAATGGTTTGATTAGCAAGCAGTGATTTTTCTCAATGAGTATAATGTACTAACTTAAACAATTTGATATAAATATGAACTGTTCTAATCGCATACACTCAACATTTAACAAGCACTAGTAGGTACTCCTAATACCTCCAGAATACGGATTCGTATTTTAAACACCACACCCACGAGCCGAAGTATCTTAATGCGGAAAAATACTAGAATGTTTTATCATCAATGTCAGAAAATAAAAACTGGCAAATTTGCGAAACACGACATGAATTTGTAAGCAGTTGATTACATACATACCATGAAGGTGATAATCTGTGACCCTGACAAACTCGTGCGGTAGTCATTCGAATTGACGTTCTGTCAAGACTCATTAAATGTAACTCATATATATGCACATATATACGTGTACCGAGTACGAAATAGAGGCGCACACACTACAAACTATGCGTTTCCACGACAGCGATTACCGTACACGTATATATAGGTACATTAGTAATCTGAATGACATCACGCCATCAACCCGTGATGGCTATTATAGTCGGAATTTGATCTTTTCGCGCTGCCGCGAGGGCCGCCCCATCACATCATCATCGACTTTATTGCCTGAGCGCAAGCGCGTTTGTCTTATCGGAAGTCTAATGCGCTCCGCGAGCAGTGTTGTGAAAAGGCTAGGCAAAAGTGTCCGACGCTTGCGCACTGATCGAAGCAGAAAACGGAGCATGTCGTTTGCCAACTTAAGAACTGCGCGCTGATTTAAACTGTACTCTGCACACATTAATAATAAGATATCAATGAAGATATATCATGTATACAAAAAATTTGTAAAATATATTTTTTTTCACAGTATATAGAAATGACATTATTGCTTGACAAGTTATTAAACAAAATACTCCTCCATTTCATGTTTTTTTTTTGGTTTATTTATTTTCGTCTAATAGTCGGTACATGATTGTCTGGGAGAACGTTGTTAAATGTATATTAAAATGATTCGGTTGTAGATATAATATATAAATGTCTGCAAACTGTTTGGAATGATCGTTGAAAAAAAGTAGTCGAATTTCTTAGGAAATGATGCGAGCGCGTATGCCGCGGCGAGCCGTACGTGTATCTGCGAGCCGCCGCTCAAGACGCGATTCCTGAGAGGCGACTCGCAAGCAGCTTGAATTTTCGCGAAACGTTCATACAGCCCGAGCATATGATTTTCCCGAATTGAGATGCAACAAAAAGTCGGCGATTGTATTTGCTCATGTCAATCAGTTGGATAAAATATTCGCACAGTGAACATCGACTGTTCAGCGTGCTGACTTATTCCTTTAACTTGTCATTTAGTTTTATTAATTGTTCTTTTTATAACGTTCACGTTCACGATCATGGGTAGAAAAAGAAATTCCTCGTCAAATAATTCCGGTAGAAATCAGTGGAAAATTTGGTACAAGGATTGGTTAATACCATGCACTAGCAATGCCAATAAAGCTTTTTGTTCGGTGTGTGATAATAAAGAGCTCACTTATAAAAAAAGTGTCGTAGAAGACCACATAAAATCTGATCAGCATTTTAATTCACTAAATCAAAATAATGAACATTACATCGAGCTCCAAAGAAAAACGGCTAGTGTAGAATTGAAACTGTGCGGACTACTCGTGGAACATAATTTGCCGAAGTTACTTTATTCTACGTTCATTCCACTCATTAAGAATGAAATTGATGATTCGGAAATCGTGAAAAACATGAAATTAGATCGACATCGATCAGGCGAAATTATACAACGAGTGTTAGCTGTGTCTCATAAAAAATACCTACAAAATATTTTAAAAAGTGATAAATTTTCCATAATCGTCGATGAAACAACAGACGTCTCATCTGTGCACAGTCTAGGTATAGTCGTGCGTTATGTGGATCCTAGTAACAATAAAATCATGGAAATTCTGTGGGATTTTATATGTGTTTACGACAAACCCGGAACGATCGCAACAGCTGAACACATGGAAAATTTAATTGTTAATTCTTTCCTTGACGCCGAAATCCCTCTTACAAATATAACTGCGTTCTGTGCCGATACCTGCAACCTAATGATGGGTGAGCACGATTCGGTTGCCTCGAGATTAAAAAAACGACTACCGCATATTTTTATTAATCCGTGCAACTGCCACATTCAGCATTTGTGTACTAAATATGCTTATGAAAAGTTGAATTTTGATAGCATAAAATTAATGTCTTCCATTACTACCTATATTCGAGCAAGTCCAAAACGATTGAAGATGTGGGAGGGTGTACAAAGAGCTTCTCAAGTAACGCCGATGTTACCCTTATATCCATGTCCGACACGATGGCTAACAGTTTATAATTCTGTACGTTATATTCTTAGCAGATGGACTGCGCTCCTAGAATTTTTCGACAAACAATCAAAAATCACGCCATGCCCAAAATATGCATCTGAAATTAACGAATCATTGATGCAGTCAGAAGTTTTCGTGACGTTACAGTTTTTAGAATTTATTTTAGAAAAATTCAACGTCGCTAATGCAACTTTACAGTCGGTTCAGCCTATAATTGGGGAAAACAGTAGCTTGATTAGAAATTTATTATCAAGTATTTTTGAACTATTTATTAACAAAGATTATATAAATAACAATCAAGAAAACCTGAAAAATATCGATCCGCATAACGAATCTGAGTGGTTGCATTTAAATTGCATCGATATAGGAAAGTTTACGCACGACTCGTTATTTGTTGATGTGATAGTGGAAGAAGAACTTGACCGACGTGTTCTATTGAAATCTTTTCGAGCTTTTTTAATTGAAGCGTGTCTCCAATTGCAAACTAGACTTGATCTCGAGGAGAAGATTACGGTAAAAGTGTCATATTTTCATCCCACCAATGTTATGAGCAGTGAATTTCACAGAACCAACCCCACGTTAGATGCGGCGATAGATTGTTGTCCGATTTTATATTCCGAAATCGAAAGAAACAACATCAATGAGCAGTGGAAACTGCTTTTGGAATGGAGTGATTATATCGACGAAGAAATTCTCATGGAGGAGCAAGCAGACGTGTTTTGGCTGAAAATTTTAAATTGCTATCATGAAAATAAGCAAATATTCAGAGAGCTTGCAAACTTTGCTCTGACTTTCTTTGTAACTATTGCCAATTCCAACGCGAGTGTCGAGCGGATGTGGAGCAAACTTAATTTGATAAAAACTGCGAGCACCAATAGGCTCAGTTTTATTAATTTACAGTCAGAATTATTTGCTTCTGAACTAATAAAAATTCAAGGTGGCATCCTCAATTTTCAGCCGTCTGACGAAATGCTTAAAGAGGTCCGAGAAATTAAATCTAGGTATAAAACCAATCCAGACATCGCTAAACTAGAAAATATGATTGCCTCTGACTATTTTGGCTTTTCCCCGGAACACGTGAAAAAATGCAAATTAGACGATGTACACTACAGCAGGCGTAAAGTCAAGTACATTGATAAGCAGAAATTACAGAAAAATAACGGTACTCTTGCTGAAGGTATACTAACTTCTATAAACTCGGAAAAACTCTTATATTCACTATTATGCGTTTGTATGCAAAAATCCCGGTTGATACAGACCAGGCCCTATTTATTCGCTTTCAGTTATAAAACAGCGCGGGTTCTTGGCGCAGAGCGCCGGGATTCACGCTTCGCACGTGCAACGGTGAACTATGTAAAAAAATGTCAATATCAGATTGTAATTTTCCTTAAAATGTATGTTTCTCGATCACTTTCTATTTTCTCTAGCTTTATTGTTCAATCATAATATGGAATGCGATGAAAATAACGAGACTGTGAACTTTCCATCGAGTGTTACAAGTACGTTCATAATTTTTATTCAACGATTTCAATTTATTATTTATTTAAATTATTTCTATACTCAACTCAGATTTAGAAGAACAAGTACATAGTTCACTGAACTTTTTCATGCTCGAAAACGGTTGTAATGACAACAATGATATCGAAGCTAATGATTCGAATTCAAGCGAAGTACCGGCTATTATACACACGATTGAGAAAGATCGAGAAAATTTAAGCAATCACGAAAATTCAGCGATTTTCGAAATGGATGAATCCAATGAATGTGTAATAATGCCCAAACGTCCCAAGCTCGTATGTATTTTTATAATGAACATTGCAATATTAATAAACAATTTTCGTTCGTTGACAAATTTTTCGTTTCAGGAATCTGTGGAAGAAATTGTTACGGCAACTACAGTTTCCGAAGTACCGATAAAACGAAATTCAGTCGTTGATAATAAAAAACGTCTACAAATTCAAAACGGCCGCTCTATCTCAAGGAATGAAAAATCTAAAAAGGTATACATTTGTCATAAGAATAAATTAATTACTATTAGCGAATTATACAATAAAAATATTTTTAAAAATGTTATCAGATGGAGCCTCTATATATGAAAGGAATGGAAGTAGCGTGTTTTAGTTGTAAAAAAAGATCAATTAATTGTCGGTATTGTGATTGGTGCAAAACTGCATTTCCTAAAAATATACATTTAAAAAGATCTACATCCACGCCATTGCAGCCACTTCAAACTAAGGATCTTGTGTTGTCGTCATCGCCAAGGTATATCATTATTTTTATCTCATATGGTAATTATAATTTCATATTCGTACTACGTACAGAGTCTCTTGCGTAAGAGCCCATAAAAGTACAGTGGACAGATGAGTGACACGGCGATACGACTCCCCATGGCTAATTGCAGCCCATAGCGGAATTGATAAGTGCTCAATACTGAAGTGTGCAAGTGCTGCGGCAATTGTTTATACGTTAATACCTGGTGAAGATAGTGCTAATCGTCTACTGCTGATCGGCATGACCTTCCAGTTTATAAAAATAGATCTCGAGCAGAAAATCGAAGTAGTTGACGATAACGCAATTATGCAGCATATTGTAGATCGAAATCTAAGGAAATAAGGTGACAGCCCGCCGGTGGGTCCGTTTACCCTCAGGCTCTGATCTCGGTACTGATCTTACCTGTCCTCCTCACTTCATCATTTTTCACCTTCTGCCCCGTTCTTAGTTCTCTATGGTCGTCATCGTTCAACAAGTGAATTATGACCCGCAAGTCGTTGCTCGTAATTCACGCGACGATCGCCGATATCTCGTTAATCGGTTTGTTAAGAATCGCTTTGTCCCATCGAGCACGAGCTACATTTATTTTTTCCTTTTCAATTGTATGAGTCGTTTTTTCTCTCAATTTCAAATCTTGTCCACATTGTTAGAATTCGAAATCCCATTAACGTCGGGTATCCTCTATTCATCCCTTAGATTTAGCAAATAATTTACAACTTATAATTAAAATATCTTTAATTTTTTTCAGAGAATTAATTTCAACAATGCCAACTGTTTTATTTGAAAATGGGTTGTACGACGACATAGAATACTACATGCACGACTTCACAGATTCCCTCACCATTGGACAATATAAAACACCCTTGCACCCGATATTACCGACATACGGATTTTATTTATTATCTACACCCTTTTTATCGCTAAAATCACCAAGATGGATTTTTGGAGAAGTGATTAATTGTTACGCCAAGATTAAGTCAGTGAAGTGGAAGGACGCGATTTTTATAACTACGGAAATGAGCACGTCCATATTAAGTCATGCCACCGATTACAGTCAAGATTGGCTGATGTACAATCTGAAAGAGGAAGATTTGAAACGATATGTGTTTTTTCCATACTTAGAGAACTCCCATTGGACTCTATACGTCGTTGATATCGCTAAAAAAAAATTGATTCACCTTGACCCTTTGTATTACGAAGAGACGCTACAAGATTTTTCTCCTCGTACAATACGAGCGCATCGAAATTTTCAATTATATTTGGAAAGAAGTCGACTTCGTGGCCAAAATTTTCTCAATACTATATCGTGGGAAGTGTCGACCATTGGGCAAGAATTCAAAGAGCAAGAAGATGGTTATAGTTGCGGGGCATTCATAATGTATTTTATGAATACTTTAGGGAAAAACAAAGAGTTTGATGCTTCATTCGAGCCAAACAGTTTTCGAAATGAAATTGCCCGAGCTTTGATCAAATCTAGCTCTTCCATGACAAATACCTGCTTGTATTGTTTTCAAACCCGTGCTAACGAAAAGAAGCATACTTGTTGTTATTGTCAGCGTTTTATTCACGAATGGTGCATTTTTCACAGCAAAAATGTTAATATGATAGATAATTTTTTATCGAACAATAGATTTATTTGTATTCGCTGTGCAATTTATCATTAAAGTAATTTAAGTGAGTGTTTACATAATTTTGTGATCATTTAATTGTATACATAATCTTCATTTATTTAATAATGTGTGCATTCATTATGTGTGCGATTTAAATACGCGCGCAGTTCTTAAGTTGGCAAACGTCATGCTCCGTTTTCTGCTTCGATCAGTGCGCAAGCGTCGGACACTTTTGCCTAGCCTTTTCACAACACTGTCCGCGAGCGAATCAAATGGTCAACACGCGAGCCGCGAACTGCGAGAAACGAAGAGGGGACAACTAAACTATCTTCGGCACGTCGAATCATGAAACAACGCGTTACACGAGCGTCAAACTTTGATAAATTTATAGCAAACAACATGGCGTCGTTTATCCAGCAATTAACATGAGTTTAAATGGACTGTTGAAAGCGACATCTGTATTAGTAAATATCATGAACCCTGAGAGTACGCTTTGAGTCTCCATATTGGTTGTTTATATATATATAGATCAAAGTTCGACTCTCCATTAGTGCTTTCAGTGCACATCGGTGGCAATATTGAGAAATAAAATTGGCAAACTTGTCTTATTCAGAATCCAGATGCGTCACTATGTTATTTAACTGACAACATGATGTTTACGTCTGGCAATGCGATTCAAAAAAGTCCGGTGGGGGTCAAAGCGACTTGTCTGTTTACATGTGAAACATGATAGTATCGCGAGCAGGTAGTGACCAAGTCAAAAGACTTTAAATTGTAATCTATAATTTAGAGTAATGTTATGATTAAGTGATAAAAAAGCATCAGTCAATAAAATGAGTGTCAAAATATCAACGCCGAAACAAAAAGCTGATTTGTATCTTGCATCGTCGCTATGCGATGGAATAGAAGACAACGACTTTCAGTGAGTCTTTTAAATTTATTTTAAAATCAAATTCAATGATTGATGTCATTATAATTTTAGACAAGTAGTAACACTTCTACAAGATAAAGATGCTGATCCCAATGTGTTGATGCCACTTCATGGTATCACTCCATTTCATTTGGTTATTGGCAATGATTCACAAACATTTGCAGAAGAAGTCACAAAGTTATTTTTACAACATGGTGGAAATCCAAACGTTAAGTAAGTTAATTTAAGTTTCATTGCATATTAATGAAAACGTGTTCATGAACTATAACACTTTTTAGATCAATAGATGGAATGACGCCAGTTCATGTCGCTGCAGCATGGGGTCGAACTAATATTTTAAAACTTTTGTTGGCCAACGGAGGAGATCCATTATGTCTTGATTTTGAATGTTATTCTCCTTTTCATTATGCTTTTAAAGGACATCATTTTGAAACTGTAGGTATTCTTAGTGAATATTGCATGGCCATGGAAAATGAAAATGGAAAAAATGACATCATACCAAAATATAAACTAGAATTTGGTACAGTATAAACCTTTTCATGACATGAACAATACTTATTTTTTTAATTAAATTTATGAATTTCATTTCATCAGATAAACTCTTGGTAAATCTTGGAGATATGTTAGCTGAATATTCTGCATCAAGCAATCCATCTATACATAATTCAGATGAAAATTCATATTTATCTGATGATTGTAGTGAACTTTTTCAAATTAACTCGGAATATTCTGATGATTGTCAGTCAGGAAGTTTACTTTATTGCGATAAGAATTTAGTCAATTCCAGAAATAGGAAAGAAACATTAGATACATACTGTGATAATCTAAAAAATAATAATTATCAAGATAGTGCTTTTAATTCTGAAACAGAAGAATCAAAAAAGATGATAAATATGGTTAATGACATTATATCACAGTTATCTAATTCTTGTACGAGTGACATTGATTTAAATAATATATCTTTTAACGAAGAAACAGAAGGTATAAATATTTTGAAAGATATTAAATCCAAACAGAAAATTGGTATTAGCAGAAAAGAAAGAAACACCAAGTCAGTACATAATTCTCAGATTTCTAATAAAAAAAGGAGGCAGTCGACATTGCAAATTATCAAACATCGTAATGAGCTCAAAAAAAGAAAATCGAAAAAATTCATTAACAAAAGCAATAAATTATCAGATGAAAGTTTTTTTGAACATAATGTTTCTCAAAGCTTCACAAAAAATAGTCCAAGCAGTCAACATACTTCTATACATAAAAATTCATCAATAGAGAATGATTGGCTCCATGAACCAATACTCAGTCAATCTCCAAATTTACATATTAGTTCAAAGTTAATTGATAAAAATAACGAATCAATAGAAAGTTTAGAAGCTAAATCTACCTCTAATAAACCTAAAACTTCTCTTATTTCTCAAGTCGTTGAACAAAAATTTTTAGAACCTAGTAGCTCAAGTGATTTAAATTTTAAAAAAATTCTCAAACCAAAGAAGTATTTTATAACACCTAGAAAGTCGACTGTAACCAAAACTAGTGAAAATTTTTTAAAAAAACAATTAAATAATGATTACAAAACTAAAGTGAATGAACATTTAAAATATTTGTCCCCATTTAATTCAAGCAATAGCAAATCTAAAACCCTAATAACTTCTAGTAATGGCAATCTTCAAAAATCAATTAAATTGAAAAAAAATCCAAAAAATATTTCTAATCATCGAAATAATGTTCTGCCCAATTTGGAGCAAAATAATTCAGCTGATTATACTCAAAAAACAAACTACTCAAGTGACTTATTTGACAGCCATGTGGATAGCTATGATAAGAAATCAAATAAAACAACTTCTCTCAAAATATCAGGTGTCGAATTGCTTGATACTAAAGTAATTTCGAAATCAGATATAAAGTCAGACTCTTCAACAGAACAGTCAATAAATTTTCCATCTGAAATTTGTATTGAGAATCATCAAAATCAAATAAAAGAAGAAAAAATAAGTTTAGATAATATAAATCAAACATTTGAAAAAACCATTAATTTATCAAGTAGTCTAATAGTTGCCCAAGGATCTTTATTATCAAATGCAGATAATGATAGGAATAATGATGCTTTACAAGAAATCAATTTTCATGATTTATCCGATGATACTAGACCTGATAACTACAGTATAAAAATTGACCATAATGATGTGAACTCACTAATATCATCAAATGATAATCTAATCTATATCAGAGATGAATCATTGTCTTCATACAGAAAAATTGATTTAGATTCATTTTTAAGTATGGAAGAGGACTACAAGTATGAAGATTTGGACGAAGGCATTGTTTTCCTTGAAAAAAGATTTTGTGTTGCACCATCTTGGTAGTACATATTTTAATTATATATACTTCTAGCTTTTAGTCAAATACTAATTAATTTTTAATTTTTTTAGTGCTTCATCAGAAACTTCTTCGTATTATACATGCAGTACATTTAAGTCGGAGTCTTTACCAAATGAAATGTATGTTATGGATAAAATAACTTTACGAGAAAGATTAGAAAATATGGGACAAAATCCAGGACCAATCACAACTACGACTCATCGAGTTTATTTAAAAAGACTTCACAAACTAGAGTCTCAAGCATTAAAATCTGTGCATCGAAACGAAATTTTAGCACCCAAAACACAAAATCCTCTTGATTTCAACAAGGAAAAAAATTTGTTGAAATCTTCTTTACTTGCTATAGATTGGATAAAGAATATTGACGATTTTGAAACTATTGAACGAAAAGTTTTTTTCGAATTTGACGTTCCAAACCCATCTAGAAAATGGCGTGAAGGTACGAGTAAAAGCTCTTTCAATTACTTATTGCTTGATCCTCGTTTAACGCAAGATCTACCAAGAAGAGCAGCTGATATGAAAACAACTGAAAAGTGGGAGGCATTTTTATCTGCCATTTTCTATGTTGGCAAAGGTAAAAAATCGAGACCTTATGCGCATCTTTATGATGCTTTTAAAATTTGGGTATCTAAAGATCAAAAAGCAGTAAATAATAAAAAAATTCAACGAATTTTGGACATATGGAATGAAGGTAAAGGTGTGGTTGTTTTACATGTCTTCCACAATACTATTCCAGTAGAAGCCTACACTCGAGAAGCTATGATGATTGATGTACTTGGTACTAGAAAATTAGGCAATTGTAAATCAGGTGATTATTATGGCATTGCGGCAACATGGAACCACAAGGAAAAATGTGAATTCGGACGGTTTCTATTGTTTAAGGCTTTGCAGATATTTCTAATTGAAGGAGAAAGGCAAATTTTTCCGGATAATTTATAATTCTGTTTAGTTTTAAATTGTATAAAGCCTGTATTATATTGACTATTGTGCAAAAGCTAGTTAAGTATTGAATATTATAGCAGTTTTGAACATGATTTTGCTTATATAGTTTTATCATAAATATTTAACAATTGTTATATACAAGATTTAAAAAAATTTTGAAGTATTATAATATTAAATTTATAATATTCTGTCAGTCATTCAAATTAGACGTTTAAGATATGTTCGCCTGACAATTAAGTAACTACAACTTAGCTTATTGACGTGTGTGATAAAATTCATTTATGAATTAACCATCTAATAATTGACAGTATTACTAAATGAAGTTAAATTAATGTAATTAAAATGTAAGGCATTCATATATTCAGTTTTTAAATTGCAGGGATTTAAGGGAACTAAAAGTTCAATAAAATTCTAACGAAGTTATATTATATCTTAAATCACCAAAGTTTCTGAATTAAATAAATTGTAAAAAATAATTGTTTCGATTATACTATATCAATTTTGTTTGTGGTATGATGCTTAGAAAAAAGGATAATGCAAGGAATAATATTAAAAGACTTATTAATCCATTGATTATGATAATTGAAAAATAGCATATATAATTTAATAATAAAAGTTTTTATAAAAAAAGTACAAAACGTATTTCAAGTACAAATTATTGGATTTTTAAAAATTTAAAACTTGTATTGATATTGCCATTAAAATAAAATTTGTTATATGGAAAATTGTCGTGTACTTTTTCTAAGAAAAAGTGCTTCTAATAAATATATTTTGTTATTAAATGTATTGATTTTTTAAATTTTTATTACACAACCAAAACAAACGAATTTTTAAATAAGTTTTACTAAAAAAATTACGTGTTACGAATTGAAACTTTTCTCTTTGTTTTTTTTTTCAACAGCAAAAATTGAATAATGTTCATTTTAATAAAGGTATCAACTATTTATTTATTTATTCAATATACATATATAATACGTCTAATCTATAATCTATAATACGTATCAATTTTGATGATTAAAACTATCAGTATGCACATATTTTTTTGGTTTCAAGTTAGTAGTTAGTTCAGTATCTAATAATCATATTTGGTAAAATTATAATATTTTTCATTCTTATTCAATTTCTGTGTCTAATATAACGTAATAATTTAGTTCATTGATGTGAATAATTCAAGATTTCTGATTATTTTCGTTTACTGTCGTTGTTCGATACACTTATAATTCGCAAAAAAATTCATAATCTCGTAAGTGATGCATGCCTATAAATGTCCTATCTAAACTGGAAGCAGACAGAAAAGTAAAATTGTTTACATTTATTTACTTGTAAATTAAATTATGCTTTTATTGACATCTACACTAAACCTTATCGTTCGTCGTTTAGATCGAGTAACACCGTATTTTTTGGAATTTTTCACGTATTCATAAGGAATTAATATGACATATACATCTCATAAGTTAGTGATAGTAGTAAAAAATCCACCATAGTAAAAATTTATTAATGACTAATAATCGTTTAAATACTTACATTTAGAGTTTTTCTAAAGTTTTTTTTCAAATTTTCAATTTGTTTTCAACTTCTGCGCTTGGTGAATTCATTTCATAATGACGTTTATTTAATTGGAAAAATTTATTGTTTAATGTTTTTTTAAGTAAAAATCTGAGTGTTTGTAGAAAAAAGAACAAGATACGAAATATTTACATCTAATGAAGAATAAATTCCATGATATAATTTTATAATAAAAATGATTTATTAAATTAATTAATAATATATGTACAGCTGTACGACACCATCGGTAGGAAAATAATGATGTAAATAGGAGATGGCTCATATCGCATTAATTATAATCATGCGATAAAATTATTAAAAAGTGTCCTGATTCTCAAACGACCGAAATAGCCAGGATCTGTGAGATTTTTAATTCATCTTTTTTCATTTTTTGTACCATTGACATTATTAACAGTCCTTCGTACTGTGTGATGCACGCGTACCCAAAAAGGACAACGATATGTTGAAATTAACACAGTCTCACTAGCTCACCAAAATCTTGTGAAACTTTCCTACGATAAATTTACGTTAGCATAGAGAGAACTTTTTCAATACATCAATATTTATTTTACAAATTTTTACCCCGCAAAATTTTTCGATGCTTAACCTGGTAGAACTTACTCCAATAAATGATCATTTAATGCCATTAAAGGATATTATGTGGTCATTTATTGGAATCAATTTTATGTGGGCGCATGCTAGTGCATATGATCAGCAAATCGTTGTTGCTGAAATATTTAACGATATTCTTGCAACATGGAAATGGCAGATTTAGGCCCTTGTTAGAACTTTCTAAAATTTTTATTGCGTAAGGTTCGGTATACTTTCTAATTAAGCTCGTCGCTAAATGTTTTTTAATTATTGTTTTGGTGAAAGTTAAAGTTGAAAACTCTTTTGATTTTAGTATTGACCAATAGTCCAGCTGCATCAAAATTGAGAAAGCTCTTTCGGAGTTCAATGAACAAATAGTGTGCCAAGATACCTTATCGTTTAACATTTTTGTTTTGAGAGCCTCTACTTCATCGAAGTACTTGACAATTTTACAACTCGTACACTCCATGTTATTTACTACCCCTCTCAAATCAAATACCTTGCTTAAGAGGTAATTTTTTCTTTTTTCTTTTACGTACAATTCACCTCTTTCGGAAGTGTTTAAATAATCGATCATAAAATCATCCGATTCTGATGCCAATCCACCTGCAAAACCTCAAGTGATTTCATATATATTATTTGTAAAGAGCAATCATCTAATTTTTTAAAATAAAATTACTTACTGATTATATCGAATAATGCTGGATAATCAACATCTTTGTGACATTGGATCCACAGAGAGAGCATTGCGGATACTCGATTATCGTTCATGACGTAGCCTTTAGATTCTAAAAGTTCAACAACTGCAATGATATCCATGGTAAGCGCTGAGTATTTCACTTCAAAGTCACGAAAGTCCATCGAAAAAATGTTGCTGTCATCCAAACTGTCTATCTTGGCTCCATTATCTAAAAGAGCCTTGGTGAGTTCATAACTAAAGCGTGACACTGCCATCTGCAACGGCGTATAGCCTTGACCATTTTTTGACTCAATATCGGCACCATGCTCAATGAGCAATTGGACAATCTTTGAAACACGTGTTTCGTCGTATTCCAGATTCTTGTCGTACTTGAGTGGATAAGTCGTTCGTAAACACATTCTGTGCAAAGGAGTTAATGAACTGTCATCTCGTAAATTTGGGTCGAATCTCGAATTTAAAAGTATCGCGACCACTTCCGATTGCCTGTACCATGCTGCTATATGTAAAGGTGGAATTCTGTACGAATTTCCATTGATGTCTAGGCCTTCGCTAATATATCTTTCTACTAAAAATATTTTTCCAATCATACATGCCGCATGAAAATATGAGTATCCATAGGAGTCAGAATAATTTTCAGAGCTGAATCTTATGAGCAATTGGAGACCTTCAAAAAATTCATTTTCCGCTAAAAGATGAGCCGTTGATTTTCCATGTGAAAGCTTGAGCGTGTCCATTGGCAATCCCTGGTTCAAAAGAAATGTAAATATTTCTTTTTGGTGATCTCGTATCGTATATTCCAAAACATATTTGATATCTTCGAGATCGGGAAATAATCTCTTATCGTGATATATTTCGACGAATAATTCATGTGTTTCGGTGCGAGAATCAAGGAGCACCGAACGATTCAATCTCAGCTCATTGTAAAATACAATTGCTCTTGAACGTTTATCACTTAAACATTTTAATAAATCTTTTCGATTCATTTTAGTAAATTATATATCCTATGACTAGACACAAAACTAAAAATAAATGAAATCACATGCACTTTCGTACTTTCACTCCACGTCTACACATTTTGTCGAATACAAGGCCGGCATCGCCATGTGTACTCATATATAAAATTTCAAAATTTAGAAAGTAAGAAAAGAAGCGCATTATAAAACATGGCACGCGTGGCACATGCAGTTTAGTGTGGGCGTGCGCAATGTTCACAGAAACATTTTTTGAATGTATTGTAACAAGGTGTAACTAGGTGTAACTAGGATAAAGGATCCCATCCAGTTTTCGGACATCGCAAAATAGTATTTAAATGAATAGAAATTAATATTTTATTTTTTGCTTCTATGAATATTATACGTTCAGAAAAAATATATAGCTTCAGTTAAACATTATTAAATCTCTTTTGTCGCGCAATTTATAATTCTGACCTGATCGAAAACTAGGCTACTCGGCAAAATAGTCGACCCAGTTTTTAACCACCTGTAATAATTCTAAATAATTTTTATTTAAACCTTTTTTAATTAATTTGAAAATCGAAAATACATTTTTTTATTTTAAGACATGTATGCTCATGCAATGCCTTCAGTCCTCAAAAATATAAAAGTTTAACCGAGTTCTGAACTGATCAGGGTCATTGACGGCTTAGAAGATTTGTTGGAAACTGGAAAATTCGAATATTTGGCTATATAATCATTTTTTTGAAGTAAGACCAGCTTTTTCGGTTAACCCATTCGAAAGGTTATTGTATTCACCTAACAAAACCATTATTTTTCTAATTTAAATTCAACATGATTCTTGTCGTGTTTATATTCTATAAAGTATATTATAAGTTTTTTTTTATAAAATGCAAGAGATTTTTGATGCATACAATTTTCGTTAGAACTCAATAATTGTCGATAAAAAATGTTTTGTGCTCTTGTTACAAAAACGTCAAGTATTTTGCTAGTCAACTGAATTTCTGAAAATGAATTTACTTAAAAATCGTATCAAGCAAGAGATTATTTTTAAGTTTATTTGAATTTTATCCTTAAACGTCGACAACTCTCACGCACAGGAGCTTGTGAGCTGAGTGAATTTTTCTGCAAAATCATCTTTTGCGCATTACATGACGTTATAACTGGTTGGACGAATTTCTGGAAAACGCTCGGTTCTCGGGCAGTTCATAAACGTTTGTCGATGATTAAAAATCACAGCTACGTCGTCACAGGCCTTATCATATCGCAACTGGACGAGCTTTGATATGTTTTAATAGGGAAACGCTGGCGCATATCATGTGCGCGCGCGAGAGAGCCCGAGAGCGATGATGTATCGGCATTATTGAAACATAAATAAAATCGCACGATATCTCGTCTGCGACGCGACATGTCATCTCGGGTAAAAGCGCAAGTCGGAGAGTCAGCACATTGTCCGCGTGTGCGCTCGTATACTTGATGCGTGCCTTGGGCGCTATATACACACTTGCACACATTTGTATAATAGGAGCTTTTTAAATTGGCGATAATGCAATTTTATCGGAAGCGGCGATGGCGTGCGAGACGCGTGCCTCATTCTCGAGTTAATATAAATCTTGCGGCGCGTCGTCCGGACCGAGCAGTTTTATTTCGGATTCACGCCGATCGGTCAGTCTGCGAGACTCGAAGCGATTGAAATTGTGACAAGTTTTGTGATTCTGTAGCGAGCAACTCGGAAATACAATCGTTAGCATGAGTAAGTTGATCGTTTGCTTACCGATTTCTTTCGAATGAATAACGCGTTGAATGAGTCGAAATAGCCCGTTTGTTTTTGCTCGCAGTGTCGCCAAACACGAAGATCATTGATCTGATAGACAGCAGCAACGCATCGATGATGAGGCTCAATCCGAGAGGAGCCAGGCGCTCCTCCGAGGAGAAGGCGCGGGAGCTCGAAATCAGCGGTATGGTCTCTGGCAAGAACATCCTCATCACCGGAGCTGCCGCGGGTCTAGGCAATGCCTTTTTCAATCATTTTCTGCAGTTTGGTGCTAAGGTAAGTCGTCCACCCTTATTCGCATCGTATTATTCGTTTACAAATTTAACTTTCAACGATTCAATGCATGCAAATCGTCATTAATTTGAATTATTGTCTCGACAGAAAATCTGCATAATCGACATAGATGAAGCATCGAGTCGAAAAATCGTCAATTCGGTTGAAAAGTCCCACGGTCCAAACAAAGTTTTCTTCCTTCATGCTGACGTATCCAAACAGACAGAAATCACTGGTACGCATGTCCACTTTAATTTATGCGGTGTCTAACCAGTTAGCTCATCCTGTCGTATACGGAATTTGTAACAGTGACAATTATTTTTTCTTGAAAAATGTAGCCGCTTTTAAAGAAGCTATTTCACTCATGAAGAGTCCGATTGACATAATTATCAATAATGCCGGGATACTGGACGAAAGACGCTGGGAACGCGAAGTCGCCGTTAATTTGGTGAGTTTTGTTGGCCTTTGCCTCGATAATATATAAAATTGTCATCGAATAGTCAATAAGCAAGTAACGCATACATGTGGACTCTAACAGACCGGCATGATAACGGTATCGATGCTGGCGATCGAGCACATGGGCAAGGACAAGGGCGGCGCCGGCGGTGTCCTCGTCAACATCGCCGAGCACTCGAGAGTGCAGTACACGGCCCAATTACCGGTTTACTATGCCACCAAGCAAGCCATCGTCAGTCTGTCTCAGTCGCTCGGAGTGAGTACAGCGATAATTAATTACAGGCCTCGAAGCTCGATCCATTGACGAACAAACTGATTTTCCGTCTTATTTTTTACTCGTTCGTTGCAGGCTCCAAGTAACACCGAGCGAACGGGTGTCCGAGTGATCACTCTGTGCCCCGGTCTCACGGAAACGGCCCTCACCATCGACAGTCCCAACAAATTACTCAGCAGAGTCATGAAGGCCGACTTCGTGAAGAGCCTCGAGCAGCTAACGATACAGACGTAAGTCTCCGAGCTCGCGATTCATAACGCAGTACGCGTGATGTAATGTCGCGATCGATTTCCGTCTTTAGGCCCTACGTGGTAGCGCAAGGACTCATGTGGATCTTGCGCATCGGCGAGTCGGGCAGCATTTGGGTCATCGAGAACGGCCAGTCGCCCTACGAGGTCTTCGTTCCGCAGTGCCGCAGTTTGCAGCGCCATTACAAAAACAACTTCACCGTGAGCGAGAACAAGATCATGAGCAAGGGAAGGCCCATACGCGAGGTGTGCGACAACAGCAGAACGGGCCTCATGAGCTGCGCTTGAATTGCCCAGTAGGCAGAAAACGAGGGTGCGCGGGGTGCGCTAATTAGCTCCGCACAATGATCTCCGATAAAACAAACCAATCGTGCACATTTCTTTATCGTTTGACACTTTTTATACTCATTTCATCTTCTTATAGTTTACAACTTCGATACTTTTTACGTATAAACCATTTTATTAATTGTAGTGTTAAGCTTTACGTCACTTAATGCATAGATATACAATACTGAAAGTGTTCATCATTAAAATGTGTGGCACTTATCGACACTCGACTGTGATCGAATGTTTATTTATTCAAATGACTTTCGTCTTAACTGAAATTTATTTATGTATCGATAAAACATTTTAGTACAATGATATTTATACAAGTTCAACTTGCTCGTAATTTTTAAAGTAGTGTTGAAGCAGAAAAGAAATAAAGTTTTCATAAACTTTCATTTTTGCAATAACCTCTTATTCATTTATTAAGTCCCAACTCCTCTGCAAATAAATGAACATCAATAAAGTTTTAAAAATGCATGAGCTCTTAGCCTCGCATGCTCTAGAAGCAGCCTGTGTAGCAAAAAGCTATCGTGGATGTAATTTAGAAAAATAATAGATAAAATGTGTAAATTTAGCGAAAGCATTTTGTAAATTATAATCTCTCTGATATGGTTCGGGAAAAAAGACGAAAAAAAGATTATTTCTAATTTCGCAGTAATAAGTTACGCGCGGATATGATTTACGTTGGCAGTATAATTTTTTCTCCCGCAGCTAACAGTGTTCAGGTCAAAGTTGGAAATGTTTGCAGCACGAATCGATACAATACAAATTAATGCTCGTAACTTTGACGTTCGCTGTACGAATTCGCGCATGGACGTACGAACTTTTACATACGCGCTTTCGTGCACATACACGAGTATAGTTTTAGAGAGCAGCAGCACGAAGAGAGACGGAACGAGTGATTAATATTATTCACTGATAAAGCCAAGATAGGTCATTAGTAAAAAGTGCAATTCAACGATAACAAAGTTGATGATGATGCTGCCTGTGTAGCATATCGGCTCAATTTATTTCAGATGCGCTTTTTTCAACGACTACTATACGCTTCGCTGAAATTTCTCGATGCCATAATTGTTAACTCTTTGTTTACGAGGTGAAGAGTGTATTCTCGAAAATATATAACGAGTTTGTATACATTCCGAGCGTATACGAATCCATTTATCCATGACGCTATCAACATTGAAAATAATCAACTGCGCAATAATCGACGCGACATAACATTGACGGTTTTTTCGATGACCGCACGTTTGTAAATAATATCAAACTCATGGGCGTAACTTTTTTATTATCCGCTTTGACAGTTATAGGCAGTTATTCATTGAAAATTCCACTGTATTTATTAACAATTTTTTACCGAATGAGCTTGAACATGCTAAGTTTTTCTTCGATTGAAACGTTTAAAAAGCTCGTAATGTAAACATAATATACGGTACATTTATAACAATAGTATTTTATATAAAGATAATATACACAAAAAGTATATACAATGAATATTCGTGTAAGCTCTGATATTCCTATTTTCGAGCCATGTTCACATTTCAAAATGATAAATATTAGGAATTATGAATATTCGGAATGTTTGAAAATCGGAATATTGAAAACGGTACATAAAAAATACGAAAAAACAAAATTTCGGAATTGAAAAAATTCGGAATGAAAAAACTTCGGAAAAATTAAAATTCGGAATCCTCAAAATTTTGAGTGGAAAATGTAGACTATAAAATTCCCCACTAAAAATTTTGAGGATTCCGAATTTTACACATTCCGAATATTCATAATTCCTAATATTTATCATTCCGAAATGTGAACATGGCTCCTATTTTCTACGAAAGATGTTCTCAATAAATATTCAATATTTCAAAGAAACGTTTCTTTTTTACGTAAAATTCAATTAAAAACGTAATTTTTGACGTTTACGTGTCTAATTTAATTAAGAGAAAAATTAGCATTTTAATTTATACTTTATTAAAAAAACACGTGTATAATCCTGCAGCACTGATTTTAAACTTCATGTTCACACAGTTCCAATTGAACAAGGGAAAAAATGTATAAACTGTACGTTTGAAATTATTAGTACTTGAAAAAACTTTTGATTTGTAAGTATAATTAAAAGTTGCTGGTTGTGATGCAAAACAGACGAAAGGAGAAAATATAAATTTGTTTTTTGCACGTTGACTAACCAGCACAAGAATAATAAGAGGATAGACACTCGAGAGCAACAGCTGCTCAGACTCCGCAGAGAGAGAAAGAGATGGAGATAATTAGAGCGGTCCGCACTTGGGCTCATTACACATACATACAATGCATATGTCTAGGCATATGCAGAAATACCAGTCCTCGGTACTATGTCGGCGTCCAACATATATATATGTGCCACACATACGGTGTGCATTGTGCATATACCTATGTATAGAATAGTTGCAATGCAGCTGCGCACCCGCGATATTTTACAAAGTATAACGTCAGAAAGAAGATATTATACTTACTCAGTCTTACTTCGTGATTTTTTCAGGTGAGTCATGCATACCACCGGCAAATCTTTTTCTTAAATCTTAAACATTTCAATTATTTTATTGTGTTCCTTCAAATGAAGTTTTGTGCATTATCTTGCTAGCTCAATTAGGCATAAAACAAATTAAAATTTTTCAACCGATCTCATGATGCATATAATTTTTACAATTTTTAATTAAAAAAAAGAATCGTTTTTGAAAAAAATCGAGCAGTATGCAGTTACAAATTTTTAAAATTAACTTTAGTTCCCTGGATGTGCATACTCAATGCGTACTGCGGAGTTTGTTTCCTCTTTCTTTTATTCTTTCTGTACCTTTTGAATGCGCATAAGCTTTTTCTAGGTATCTCGCTTATTTCTTTCGGCATTGCAGCGTCGTATTCTAATTTAAAAACCAATTTTTAATCAAACACATTAAGAAAAAAATTTTGCTCTTTCAATCAATACTTCGTAGAATTAAATGATTAGTGACAACACTTCCATCATATAAAATGAATAATCATTTTCAACTTTCATTGCGAAATACAGAAAATTGTAAAAAATTAAAACGTCAAGACGGGTAATAAAAAGCAAAGGAAAGGTAGTGGAATGTACTCGGTGCATGTGTCGGCCAGATCTCCACACGATGGTAGAGCTCCAGGTGCACCACCTGACAGTGAGATCGTTTATAAGCAACAGCACCATGAGAGAAGAAGAGAATCCTTGGCATTGCGGATTTTCAACTACATAAGACACCACTTTCAACCAGAGCCACAGCCTGGTAAGAGCAGTATTTCAATTTTTTTTTCTTCGTATTTTCAGTTTTCTAAGAAAATTTCGAAATATTAAAAATTTTCGAATGATCTTTGTAAAGTTAAAAAATGCAATGTTTTTTGAAAAAATTTTATTATCTGTATAAAACATTCGAAATATTTCGAAAAAATAATACAATGGCTAATATAGCTGTTTTATTAAGAAAAAAATGAAAATTATTTTCATTTCATTTGTAATGATTGTTTTTCGATTTATACATAATTTTATATTTCATACACCCTAATCATATTAGGTAATTTACGAAACGAGTTTTTGTGTATGATAAATAATTTTACAATATCTATCCATTTGCATTTACGATAACCTTTAAAAGATTTGCAATTTGTAGATTAAAATTACTTATCTATTTAACAAAGCTCATTATTATATACTAAACGCGCGAAAAATTTACTTAACTATTATGTACAGTTTTGTGCTTATTGATAGCTTTGATCTGGATAACTTGCGGCTCATTTGTATAATATTTTTCATTAGATTTATTCAACCTATGAATTAAAATGACTGTAGCAGGTATATTTAATGTTAAGTGCTTAAACAAAGAATCATATCAACTATAACCTTTGATATAACAACTTACGCCAAAAGACCTTCAATAAAACACTTTGTGACATACATCTTATTTATTTTAGCCAAAAAATAATTTCGATTTTGTTTTCTCGCAACTGAATTGTAGAACTTTATACAACTTTTTCGATGCATTAATCTCGACTCTATAAAATGATTAAACGTAAGCATAATCAACATAATCCAATTTTAATCTTTCAAGTAACATAATTCAGTAAACAGCAGTTAAACTGCTAAATTCTCATAAAAATCACTTAAGTGAAAAAAAAACTATACAAAGAGACGAAAGAAGCATCAGCCAAAGTTATCAACTTAAAAAATGCGATTGAATCATATGCAGAATTCGTATCATTAGCTATACAGGCAGAAAATTATTTTGAAAAGTGAGTTTTTAATGGAAGGAACGCAATACCTTTAAAAGACAATTAATGACACTACAAAACCCGAGCATAATTTTGTTTAAAAGTTGCACTTTATACATTGCATTAAACAATACTAGAAAAATTTGTAAGGCCGTTCATAGTCGTCAGGGGCACAGATCTTGAGAAGCCTTTACCATTAGCATCATTGTCATATAATAGCCAGTTGGAAACAAAATTATGTTGTCTTTGCTCACCCGGACCGGAAATTGGTTCTTGAGTAGCTGGTACCGAGCTTTCACCTCGACGAAATGTCATTACAGGTGCTCGCGTAGTACTGAAGACACTGACACAACTTGTTTCATTTACTTTTGAATAGTCAATGTAATTTGAAGAGCACAAATTCAAAGTATTTTCTAAAGTTTTTCCTCCTGTTCGTGCAGCAGTGATTGTTTGGGAAGCTGCTGACCACTGAGGCCAGTAGGGATCAAGCACTGCTGAACCTAATAAAAAATTGTTTCTATCAAATCAAAGTCAATCTCCTACTAAAAATTTATGTACAACGTGATGTTATCCACAGATACGAAAATTAGTTCAAAAACTTAAGATATTGCTTACTGTAAGGTGGAGGAGGTGGAACTTCATTTTGAATAACCGATGTAGGAGGTGGCATATAAACATCTAATCCTGATGATTCTTGAACTTGATGCAAAGGATCAGTGACATCTAAATTCACGGATGTATTAGGGTCTTGATAATAAGCAGAATCATATGGAGCCGATTCTAAATCTACGCCATAGATTGGAGGCATAAAATTTTCTGTATTGGTAGAACATTGACGTTGCTGATTTTCACCATTGTTTGTTGAAAACGGGCCCAAATCTCTGTAATAGTCTTGGGTTTCTGCAGGTTGGATCGATGATGATGGTGGCGTTTGGTAATAACGTAATGGATCAAAATGGATTTCAGGAACAATACTATTAGTGGGGTCCAGCAAAGTTGCACTACTCTATGGTAAAAAATTAATCATTATTTAAAACAATTTCTTAACATATTTCAAAAATTAAATCATTTAAAATTATTATGAAGTAAACATAACTCTTACCAAATAAGGCTGGTCATTCAAGCAATAAGATCCACCACTTGATTGCATAATATTTACATTTGATGCACCGCTTGTAGGACTGGTGTCTAAGACATCAGCAGTAGTCTCAGGACTTGGATACTGAAACGTTTCAGGTGCAGAAGCCATTAATCGTGATCCATAATCAGGAGGCTCAGGAATTTCAAGGCTATTTGATGCTAACCAATTGCGACAGTGCTCTTGAGAATCAGGTTGGGGTGCAAATTCAAACTGATAAGACTGGCTATTATAACACTGAAAAAAAAAATTTTCTATTGAACAAAGTGTTTGACTTAATGGTTTTATGATTCATTTAGTTGAAAACTACATACTATCGAATTTGATTCAACAATGTTATCTAATGGCGATTTGTAAAATGAAAGGCAGTGTTCACGCTTATATAAAACTCCATTATTGTTGTTGTAGTTATCATTAATGTTGTTATTATTGTAGCTTTGATCTGTAGAAAAAACACAAGGTAAGGCACCTGTAACCGATGTTACATTATCTTGCCAAATTTCGTCATTTTCATTTATGTCGGATTTCGCTGTCATTGTTTCGGAATTATCCGGTGATGGCTGTTCCCTTATTTGATAAGTATCAAGAGGCCAATCTAAATTCAAAATCACAAAAAAATTTTGAGATATTAATTAATATTAAAAGATACAATAATTTTGATGCAATACAAATTTGGCAAGAATCCCAAAGTCAAGGCAAAAAATCTTTAAACCTGCTTCTGAAGATTTGAGTTAATATTTGTATAAAGAGTTCTATGATAGCTTAAAAAAAAAAAGTATTAACAAAAACATTATGTAAAAGTCCTAAAGCATAGGTTTCAAAACTTTGATTTTGCCTCGAGTTTGGCATCTCCTCAATATAAATCATCGAACAATCAATTTAAATTTTTGCTATTTCCATATTAACTAAGGTATAATTTTTTTGTTCATATTATTTTCAAAAGAAAAAGAAGATCATAAAATTAAGTCTCATCTAAGCTTGCTGTACTGGATTAATAAATTAAAAATAAAAACTTACTCGATACAGGGCTGGCAATTTCACCAAGATTTGCTCCAACAGGAGCTTGTAACATTTTCTTTAATAATAAAGACATCCTTGCACTAGAATCTTCTGACTGTGTAACTAGTGTATTGGTATGATTTGTTATAGTAGGTGCTTCAGTTCGTAAATCAATTATTTCATCTAACAATGAACCGTTATTATTTCGGTCTTTTGAGCTTGATAGAATCAATTGTTTTATATCATTATAACTTAAATTACACTTTAATGGGTCATACTTATTAGTATTGACTTCTTCTTCTGCTCCTACCTAGAAAATTGCAAGAATAACCACATTTTTTTAAAAATGTATAGTTGGTATGTTTATATAAATCTTATTAATGAATCTTTTCAATCTTACCCACTGGAATGGGTACTGTTGCTGATGCTGCGGTTGCATAGAAAACAAAAATGGATCTTGCTGAACAATTAGTTCTGGAGAATCTTGGAGAGTAGAATTTGATTGTACTTCTCCTTCTGATTGAAGTTTCAGCTTTTTAATCCTTTTTTTTCTGTTTTTCTTCAAGTCTGAGAGTAATTTCGATACCTCAAGCAAATTTCCTGCCTTTGCTGCATAAAGAACTTGCAACAAAGATTGCTTCTGCAATTAAAACAATTAAAATAGCACATCACTAAAATCAAATAAAAAATAAAAAATAAAAATAATAAACTAAAAAATAAAAAATAAAATCAATACTTTTTTTTCAAAATTAAAGAAATTAATTTAAATCTATAACGCATTGATTCGTACCAAAGATCTAAGTTAAACAGAACAATTAGTAAAATGTATTTTATGAATATTGGATGAATCTTAATACTTTTGGCTTGTAAAACTTTGATGATTACAACAGCTATACAAAGAAAGTGTAGAATAATCATTAAAAATGATAATGCTAGAGTTATGAGTTATTTGAAATAGTAAATATTGTGATAAAAATTATTCCAAATTTTATAACGGAGAATGAAAAAACATTTTGCCCGCATATTACATCAAATCGAATATGAACCGTGAACAATAAATTAAATATGAAGGAAATTCATGAATTTTGCCACAAATCATACAGGTAATCGGATTTAGCGACGTTGCCAATTGTCTGATAAATTTCCCGTCAGAGCGGAGATCATCGACCTCGTGGTTTGCCTAGTACTGCTTTAATTAAGACGAATTTCTAGGCACTATTGAAATTAATATTTAACAAAATAGCGATAAATATAAAAAAAGAAACAGAGAGTCGCTTGAGACCGGAAACAAAGAGAAAAAAATGAAAAAAGGACGAAAAAGAAAAGTAGTGGGCGTTACGCGCGGGGTGTGCAGCCTGTTTCACGTGTGCGGTACACACTTACCTTGATATTGCCAGGCACACGGTACTTGGCGGCTAACGCTTGCAGCTCCTTGTACGACAAAACCGCAAGATCTTCACCGGTGGCGCTCATTATTCATCCGTCATCTCCTCCTTGTAGCCGCATTAAGGAAGAGTGTCACAGATGTACAGGTGAAGATACGAGTGGCGTCGATAACGATAGGGTATTAGGTTGAATGTTTGCTGGGGCCCGACGTGCGTCGTCGTAACTGTTGACCGTCCCGTGAGAAAAGCCGATCGGTGTGTTCTGCAAGGCTACTGCGTTGATGCGACGTGCACAAGACGATGATACCACGACTCACGACGGCTGACTAGAATAAATGAACACATTTATGCCGTATTATAAGCATGATGGGAGCCGATGGGAGTTTCGCGTGCAGACCGATCCAGCAGCAGCGGTTCTAGCCGAAGATGCCGGGAAATTCTATAGTTAGGCCATTGCGAGGATCAACGAGAGGGATAGAGACAGCCGCGCAAAAGTGTCGCACTTTGTGCGGAGATAGGTAAAAGAGGGAGAAAGCGCAAATGCGGTGTTCTCGCGTATTCGTTTGAATCGCCGTTCGTCGGAGCCTTTGGACCCTCCTCCCCGCCCCGTACGTCGCAAAGAGCGGATAATCACGCGCACGTGGTCTTATTATATATGCCGCCGGTTGCCTGCTCTGCGACGACTTTGCGAACTGCGGTTTGCGAGTTAACGCCTATTACTTACTTGTATCGACGCACACTCGATTAATACGTGGTTGAAATTTTCAACAATTCGATATTCAATCCTTAACATTCCGAATCTATTCGAATGATCACGAGGCCCGTGTTCTATTCTACTTTCACATTTTGAAACGTCAGTTACTTCGCTGTTCTCAATAAAATTTTGAACATTTCACGATTTCGTTCGATTTTTGCCATGAATATAAGCAGCTTCGGTACAATGTAAGTACGTTGAACTATAGTTAAACATTCTTGCTGACTTGAAAATGTTCATTTCAGCAAGATTTCCAAAGAGCACTTTAATAATTCATTCTGTACAACAAAAAATAATCGGATTATCTATTTGGCAATGATAAATTTGTCAGATGAGATTCTGAAAATATTAATAACTTGGAACAGTTTGGAACTATTTAACCGAATAAAGGTTATAATAGTCGGTAATTAAATTATTGAAACATTCAGAAAAAAAATTGCCCAATGATAATACTTTAAACAGATAAATAATACGTTTTTATTAGTTTAAAGCTATGATTTATCGATTCGGCTATAAAAAAAATCGAATCGTTCAAATTTGCACTACGATAGGATATTTGAAATAACCTAACTGTAAGTTAACGCGTAAAAAGTAGTGCGTATTGCGTATTTTAGATGATGGAGTAGTCTGCAATCAGCAGTTACCACTTATGACTTACCACGTGCTAAACTTTTATTTGTCGCAACACATGCGCCCTCATATAGTTTCCATGACTTTAACTCATTATTGAAATGCGCAATTATATCTAACCTGCCTATTGTCAAATGACTTAATAATAAATAATAAACAGATGTTTGAATTATAATTGTGCTGAAAATTACCTATGAAAATATCGATCCATCCATCCAACATCGAGATGATTTGAAGATTACCCGTACGACAGTATATGCCGCCTGGGGCAGTGCAAATTGAATTTGTTGTACCGACCACCGATTAGTGCGATCGAACTATCTTGGACATGCGAGCATGGAAATTCGTCGCTCGCTGCCAGGAAAATCAGCTGCGAAGCAATCGAGTTTATCGGCGATCAGACAACTCGGTCAGAATTCGAACAGCCGGATCAGACGCGTTTGGTCAGGTGACGCGCGCACTGCACACCACTGCACGTTTATATATACTATCGCACCGAATATCGGATTTATATTATTATCGGAGGTGCCGCGCGAACTGCGAACAGTACCCAAGCGACGGGAGCAAGTGAGAGCCGTGTGCTGCAGAGCTGAGAGGCGCTGATGTGCGGCGTGTTATTGCACGAGTTAAAAATTTAACTACTGCTGGACCGCTTGAGAGTCACTCTCGGCTTCCGAGTCCCCGACTCCCGAATCAGATGGCGACGACGACGCGAGCCGTACATTGTATGGTAAGCAATTACGTCGATACCTCCAAGCCTTGTACCAATTACTTTTATCATTTTGTCACGATCTCAAAAGTCCATCGAGTGACATACAGAGTGGCACCGAATACAGTTGACAAGAAAAGAGCATGTAGGTACTCGAGCGTGAAGCATGTGCAACAATCCGAGGGACAATCAAAGATTTGGTCACGAGCCAAGCTTAAATCCAATATCGGTAAAAGCAGCTGTCTTATTCCCCGGATGCTAATCCATCGAGTGAACTCTTTATGAAGCACGCAGCCTGTTGGATCCAACGTCGAGAGCGCCAAAATCTAACAGAAAAAGGCAGGCAGTTTTTTTACATTGTATATTTGAATCGTCGACTTGTTGATAACGAATTTTTCACGTTCCAACCCAAGCCCCCGGCGAAACGTGTTTCAAAATCTCCATTAATTTTCCAACATTACAGATAGTGAAGGGTAAATAAATGGAAATGTCCGGTTTGATGGAGCGAAGGGTTTTTCGAAAATAAAAATGTCAGTTATTCAATTGTTTCTGTACTCCTAGAAAACTTGGCCATCAATTTTAGTAAACATTTTTTTATTCTCTACCAATCAAGCTGAACTTTCTAACTCGTATCCTGGTGTTATATTTGCTTTTCGAGTGATTTTATCGATGCTTTTTTTCTAGATTATCCGTGACATTTATTTTTGTATTAGAATGAATATTCACACTTCCGTTAAAGCGTCGAATGCATATAGCAAGTATCTATCGGTACCTACTCGTATCGTGCGCGAAAGGGAGCAAAAGACGCGAGATTGCATTTGGATACGAGTCGCAAACGGATATATACCTTTTTTTCTCTCGCAAGTCGCAAAGCGAATCGAGACGATGAAGACAAATCGATCGAAGCCTCGTGAGCTGCGAGCTGCGCGTCGAATAAAAATGCACATAGGTACGCGATCGGAGCTTGTCGTTTATTTGCATTATCGGGCTGGTGTATGTGCGCAGGTGTACAAGTACACGAGCACCGTCGATATAATACGCAAACATACTGCTGCGAGCATCTCGTCTTATGTATAGGCATCTCTAGCTCTATATAGCACGGCCAAGTGGAAGTGTTTCCCTCGACGCCAATACTCGAAAGCTGCAGTTGTCTTTTTCTATGTACATGGAGGGCCTGGAGTGTCTGGCATGCAGCAGCCTGTGTGTATTCACATGTGCACATTGCACTCTCGACGCTAATCGTTAATCCAGATATACCTCGAGGCTCGAGGAAAATTTTCGGATGCATTATACACACTCTCGCAGCTCTCTGCGTCCCTTGGGCGCGACTGACGGCTTTTTTTGCGCTTCTTGCGCTTTAAACGTGGATAAGGCGCCTCGAGATAGAGCGCCTCGAGTGATCCGATATAAATATACTATTCGCGTGCAGCCTGTACTCTATAAGAGTCTAGAATGAGACAGTTAAGCGAAAAAAAATGGGAACGCGCTTACTTAGCAAAAAAAAAATTTTGATGGACGATTTGGATTCGAAAATGGATTTAAGATCCGCGCGTAAAATACAACGCCCTTCCATAAGCTATCATTTTATCATTAACATTCCACGTGTATAGCGAGAGAAATTTGGCTCTCTTTTTTATTTTTTATTGCAATCGATTACTCACGCGCAAGATGTAGAGTGATACTATGTAGGGTAATCATTTTCTTTCCGGTCCAATTCTTTAAGATGAAACAACGAAAATGTTTGCACGTGATTTTCCCGAGCAGATCGTGAGCCTTCCCGGTTAAAAGAGATCGATAATTTTTGAGAAATTGAAAACCTCACCCAATAAGTGTGTATTATTAGAACTGATCGATCTTTTACAATACGATCCGAGTAAAATACACGCCCGCCCGACTTAAGCGTCCCGAAAAATCCAAACAAATATCAGTTTCACTCTGCTCCGTTTTTGTTACAACTCGACGCGTTACACACGCGAAGTAGTCGATCGTTGCCTTTTCGCAATAATTGATCTCGAGGCAAAGTTAGCGCATCTTGACTCGTACGGTTGACTGTCCTCGTCGATCGATAGATTAATATACCATCTCGATGAAGCTGTCGTTGTTCGCATACAATATAGGCAGACGAAGTGCCTTTGCCGCTACAGCACACATTGGCTCATAATATATACCGAATGCATTAACGCGCGCCGCAGCGAGAAATTATTTCAATCGACGCTTCGAACACTCATCTGCGCTGCAGAAGTGTGCAGCAGGTATGTAAGGGTATTATATACATAAGGTGGGATAGGAGAGCTGCAGAAACGCGTGTCGCGAATCGTAATCGTAACGCGGCTCGTTATACAGCGGCGCATTATCGGCGACGCCAGTCCTCCTCCTCCTCTCGCTCGGCTCTCGAATCCGAAAGTATATAAGATGCCTGTACAGCGTATATAGACGTTGGGTTGTGTCATGCGCGCACCCCCACCCCCCATTTCTCTCGATCATGCTCTCAGAATCCCTCACTGCCCTCTTTAGCTCTCCCCCCAGCTGCATCAACGCTAGCACTAGCTGTAGTAGTAGTAGTAGTAGACCAGTAGGTATAGAGAGCAGTGGAGTGGAGTAGCGACACACAGGCGCAAAGACTGCACACACCCATACGGACTCGCAAGGTGGCTACAGGCAGGCCACGACGCGCGTCATTCTATCTCGGCCGGGGGCTGCTCATGCCTGCCTTTGCGTGTACTCGTGTGCGCGCGCGAAACGCGATATTTTGCTTTCCTCCTCGCCAGTACCGCGTGTGCAACCGTAGCGTGCGGAGGCCCTGAGCAGCAACCGACCTAGCGTCTGTCTACTGGCGTTGAATAAACTCGGCGTAACGCTCGACCTGCTGCTGGAGCAACAGCTACCGACCCAGCTGTACAGGATAGTATCGCATCGACAGTCGATCCCCCGTGATTGACTGGAAACGGCCCGAGGCTGAGTAATAAAAAGAAGGACCGCAAACTGTCGGGCGACGTCGAGAGCGCCATGCCTGGCTCGCCGGCAACGACCGTGAAAAATCGAAAGAAAAATGACAAGAGTGAGTCCAGAACAACGTCCGTCCCTCCAACTCTCCCTCTTTTATCAATTATTATTATCTTTCCTGCTCGTTATACCTTATAATACATACGATATATTGCAGTGATTTTTACTTAGCTCCTTTTTGCTTTCGCTTACTTATTCATTGGTTTGCACTTTTACTTTTTATTATTATCTATTGATACCCCTCTGCGGATATGCTCTTTTCTTTTTTCTATTTTTTTTTCTTTTTGCACGAGGATGAGTTTGATCGTCATTGTTATGGAAAGAAATTGACGCATCCTCGATCTTTGCACAAGAATCGTGAGAGTAGAGTATGCAGGAGGTCAGTACTGTTTATATGCGCAGTTCTAAAGTGCACTTCAATTCGTCATATGATGTAAATTACCAAAAACAAATGACCTTTCAATTCAACAGTACTGATGTTCTTGTGTCAATTATATCTTTGCAAATGGATTTTATTTTCCAAACCTCGTTCAAATGATGGAAGCACAGAGTTGGCGAGAATTTACTAAATACCCCATCTATATGCATGTTTAATATTCATTCAAATGTACGGAATACTCTGAACATGAATGCCATCGCGCAGCTCTCGACGGAAACTCGGCAAAAATCAACGCTATAAATATAAAATCTTTGATAACGTTAATGAAAATTTACATCGCCACGGCTTGTACGTATCCTCTCCTCAATACTCTACTTTCTATTTTCCGCAAAACCCAACATTTTACGTACATTTCTTTTGCTCTTATCCCCTTAAAAACTATTTGCTTTCTATTATTGGCTTCTCTTATTTTTACATTGCAAATAGACAAAAGTCAGGCACACGACGCATCTATGACACCTTGAATGGAAAAAAAGCAAATCTTTGCCCCAAACTCTTTCTAGATGAACATGTTTCGATCTCCCATTGAAAATTGAATGCATAACACGTAATAAATGCTCCTATTCCAGAGGCTTATGAAAAGCTAATGGAGATATTTGCGATGAAATCGAGCGAGAAGCTTAACGTTGCGCATTGCCATTTGAATCTACGACTCGCGAAGAAGACAAGTTTACTTCGCTCCGTCGACAGCGCGTGTTTCTTTTAAAAATAGATGTACCTATGAGCCATAGCCCTGCTCTGACAGCTAAATGCGCATCTTTCCTTCAACTTTAGAAATTGATTGGTAAACTCTCGTTTGCGCTCCCGACTGTCTCTCTTTATTTATAAGACGCGCAAAAAGGCATAAAACTCATCGTTGAACACGAAAAGTCCCGAGAGACAGCAAAAAGCTTACCGTTCGTAACTCAAACGTTATTAAATTTTTTGCGCGTCAATTTTTCCAACATCCACGGTAATTTTTTTCCGACATAATTTCATAAATTTGAATTGATAAAATTTCATTGTAAAAGTTTTCAATTATCTTACCATTAAAGTAATCAAGCTGCACATCAGGTGCTGCTCGTTTTCTGTATTATAGCTGTAAATATATAAGCAGCAATCAGATGAACACGTACATCATGTATATTATTTCAGCAAGTTTTCATTAAATTGAATCCTCTTCCGTTGAAGCCCGCTTGCGTCAAGATTCTGCTCGTTTATAAAGTAAATTTATCTTATCTCGTTGTAGGCATTGTTTTGTTTTATTTTTTTCTCTGTGAAAGACGCAATCTAAAAATGAATAATTCGAGAAATATTGAATTAATATCCTTTTAACAAACTGTACCCTCATAATTACTACCCTAATTTGTAGCTGTGATAATTGGTCTGTATATAATGTGGGCACTAAACGCAACAATAAACTCTATAGGTTGTTTTTATTGGCTCGGTCGAACTCGCCCATTTTTTTCGTTTTTCTCTCCAACGTGACAAAGTGGCTCTCTATAGGTAGGGTAAAACAAACTTCGGACAGTATTAACGGAGCGTGTTTGGTTAATTGATCGGATCTTCTCGTTTCTTTTTTTTCAGATGCACTGAGTACATGTGCAAGTAGCTCGATAAATACAGATGAACCGAATGCGAGAAAATCTATTATTATTTGCGATGCGCTGCTTTTACTTACGGCGAGGACGAGGGTTAAAATCGATGATGCAAATTTTGTTGTTCTTCGACTGATGCCTCTACCATTGCGGTTTACTTTTAGCCGACTGATCGAGTCTCGCTACTTTTCTTACAAAATCGATAAAATGATTCAAACTTTTATTGCGACAGAAATGTCATGTCTTTGAGATACAATAAATAAACGTCGTAAATATTGGATTATGAATGTATGAACGATTTTTTTAGAATAATTTTTCAGCGTCTTGAAATTCGAAGGTTATAATTTCAAAGGTTGACGTTTTATTTCAAATGCATCTTACATTAATGAAAGTACACGCTGTACCGTCATCGCGAAGTTAATCAAAATGTATTCATGTACGAGATAAAAAGCTCGTCAGAACAAAAGTTGTTACGCAATGTTGTGTGTCGAAAAATTTGCATCTATAAACTTGAAAGCTCGAATAATAATATGTGCTCGCTGTGGGAAATTATACAAGTTGCCATATTCGAGAAGGAAAAAGTGTACAACTTTATATGCTCGATTTGCATAGTTGAGATTTTCAAGAGATATATATTGTAAACTTTCCTATATATACACAACGTGTGGCATTCGCAGTCTTTTAGTTGGCGATGATAAATGTATGCTTTGCGGTTTTTGCGCCTCTTTCGCAACTCCCTATGCTGTGCTCCAAAAGTTGTGTAGTGGTTGTGAGCAATTTACACTTTGGCCAGTATCCTGCATCGGTTCGCATCTGTGAGTATTTTGTTTTAGATGGTCCGAATAAATTACTCATTTACAATTATAAAGCCGCTAATTTCTTTCGATTTTCAACACTTTGCAAATATCGATTACATTAATTTATTCAATTGAAACTAATACTGTAATATTTTCAATTTTTGCTTTGGTTCATAAATTAAAATGCTCAAACAGGTTTATTCGAGATATAATTTTTACTTTTACAAATATTAGCAATTCATATATTCAATCCATTCTAAAATAACTGAATTCAATAATAAAATAATCACAAATGCATAATCGTTCAAGCTCAATATTCAATTCGGTAAAGCGTTTGCTCTTTTCATTATTCTTTGCAGTCAAGTATAAAATTGATATTGATATGAAATGAAATTTTTACTTTCTTACATATGAATTTAAGGATTTTTCACTACACTGCACAAAACCATATCGGCGCTTAGAAAACGAATTTTCATTTTTATAGATCAAGCTGTAAATGAGTAGTACGTTGAGATGGAAAACGGTGTAAGAGCGAATCTCGGGTGCACAATTTATCCTCGACTAAACCTTGTTTATGCACAACAAAGCCATTTCACGCAGCACATATATAAATATTCCGTGATAAACTTTATTGCGTTCTGCCTTTTCCCCGAAAAGTCAGGGAAACGTATACGCGGGACTATTGCGGAAAGGGACGCAATAATAGTACCATTATAATGCTGCAGATGTACGATTCTTCGTTTATTGCTTCCTCGGTGGATAAATGCCATGCATTTTTCTCTGCTGCTGCTCCAACCCTAGTTAAACCTCATGTAACACCCGGATAGGAAACGTAATTGTTTTGTATTCTCGACTTTTTTGTTAAATAATACTGCGTATACGAAGTGAGAGGCATTTCAAAAATGCATACCTATGATTCAGAGATGATTGTACCTTTTGATGTAGTACTCGGCTGGAGAATGTTATTGATGATGAAATTTCAAACATTATTATTTTTTCGAGAAAAATTCCATATTAAAAATTAATAACACTCCCAACAGAATTATTGAGTTTTTTTAAATTCTTTTTTGAATTTTCAATTGATATTTCATTACCGAGCTTAAATATATGATTCAAACATATTTGTTGATTATACTTTTTTCAGCTGCACTCAACTCGAATACAGCTTAATTCTTTTCAGAAAATTTGAAATTAAAAACAGGCTACCGCTCACTCATTAAACTTAGAAATTTATTTGCTGCAAATCATGCACTGGAATTAACTTTCGAGTGCCTAATACTTTTGTATGAATTTAATTCAATCAATTATAGTACAAAAATGAAATAATCAACGCAGCCCGCGCTATTATTTCAATTTTTAGTGCGATCGATCAAATGAAAGATTCATTAAAGATGGAACAACAGGCACATAAGTAAAGGATTTAGCTCAGGTCGCGCGCCAGTGCTCCACTCGTGTAATTAATGGCCCTTCATTTACACAATTTTCCGGACGAAGTATAAGCGAGTCATGCGAATGTACATCGTAATAAGAAAATCTTTCCCGTTAATCAAAACGATCGAACCCCGTTGTACAATGTATATAAGTATATAAAAGAGAAGACAATGAGAGGACATTTCCATTAGAATATCGCGTCTAATACGATTCCATTGAAAAAGTAACTTAATCTTGGTCAAATTCACAAATCAGTTAGAACTTGCTCGCCGTCGCACGTTGCCGGCGGTGACCCTAGTAGTACAATGTGGCCGCAAAGCAACCGCGCGAAAAAGGGTGAACCGAGCGAGGATTTCATGCTAGAGTGGACGCGCGCGAGCACAGCGTGAAATCGCCTACTCGCATACTCGTCGCTGACTATATGCACCTATACTTATATACTTGCCTATATTTAAATAGGTCTATACTTGGCTTTGCCCCGCCACGCAGAAAAATCAAAACCAGACTTGCAGCTTTTCCAGCCTTTTCAAAAGATTGTACTCCTGCCGACAGGCTGCAGTATTTTTGAGAAAGTGCATAAAAACCAATTTTTGAGTCTGTGGATCAAAAGAGATTTTAAAAATGAAGATCTGCCGCAAGCATGAAGCTTCTTTGAAATGAAGAATGTTTATTCTAACATTTTGTTGCATTTCAGAGGGTAAAGTGTACTTGAAGGTTTAGACGAAACCCCGAGCCAATCTGAAGATTGCTCGATGAAAAAAAAAGAATGAATGTTAATACTGATCAAAAATGACCTATTGCAGATTAACAA